GCTACTGTAAAGATACATGCACACGTATGTTTACTGCAGCACTATTCACAATAGCGAAGACCTGTAACCAACCCAAATGCCCACCAATGATAGAGTGGGTAAAGAAAATGTGGCACACATATACCATAGAATACTATGCGGCCATAAAAAAGGATGAGTTCATGTCCTTTGCAGGAACATGGATAAAGCTGGAAACCATCATTCTCAGCAAACTGACACAGGAACAGAAAACCAAACACCACATGTTCTCACTCATAAGTGGGAGTTGTACAATGAGAACACATGGACACAGGGCGGGGAACATCATACACCAGGGCCTGTCAGGGAGTGAGGGGCTAGGGGAAAGATAGCATTAGGAAAAATACCTAATGTAGATGTCGGGTTGATGGGTGTGCAAACCACCATGGCACGTGTATACCTATGTAATGAACCTGCACTTTCTGCACATGTATCCCAGAACTTAAAAGTATAATTAAAACAAAATAAAATAAAAATAAATTTCTGTGTGTGTGTATGTGTGTGTGTATCCCCAAAGGCTGCTTATCACATATGATACTGCTACTCTCAGTTTATTTTTATTTCTTTTTAAAGTCTGCAGTTCAGCAGGCTTTTCTTCCCCCACTCAAATCACACTTTCATTTACCTTTCCTAACTCAGAGAAGACGCTAAACAAAAATTAAACAAAATTAGTAAGAAGAGGAGGAATTATGATCATGTCCTATTCACTTTTGTGACTCTATTTACTCGTACATAGTAGTAACTCAATAAATATTTACTGAGTGAATAAATAAGTGAATGAGAAGTTATAGTTTTCAGATTAAAAAAAACTTCCAGAATTTATAAAAAACATTTGTATGTTTACAGAATTTATGGAAAATGTTTACATTTCTATGAAAAAGAGCTCCCATAATTTATGGAAAAGGTTTATAAATACCAGAAGCTGGAATGGAAGCTAAGAGTCAAGATATAATGAATAAAGATTCATCAACATATGATGAATTTCCTGCTGTGTTTTTTCCCGAGATGGTTTTACAAATGTAGCACAAATGAAGCTAACAAGTTTTTCATGTCTCTTTTAAGAATATGGACTTTAAAATATAAGCTGAAACTTGCAGTATTATTGTCCCCAAGGAGAGTTTTAATGGAGTTTAGAAAAAGAAGAGTTGGATAAGTAACTGAGAGTAATTAAATAGCATTGTATAAGATATGAAACACTTCACTTAGCACGGTCTATACAAAAGTAGAAACAATTTTCTGGCCTTTAACCCAGGCAAATAAATAAATAAATAAATAAAGTACACAACTCTCTTTTTATTTTTCCTGAGAGCAAGGTTATCTAGATACTTAGTACTTATTAATTTTATTCCCTAGGGATCATGATACTGCAGTTCTGAAAAACTTTAGTACTCTCATTGTTGGAAAAGCATCCCTGAAGCATAGATAAATTATTTCTCTGGTTTTCATAAATCTCTTGTAATAAATACTAAAATAAATAATAATACAATTTTTTATATTAACAAAGGAAATTAGAATTGTTTGGCATGATCTTTTATATATATAAATGTAGGAATAAGACTTTACATTTGTATATTTTTCTTTTCTTTTTTTAAACTTGAGACAGGGTCTCATTACATGACCCAGGCTGGAGTGCAGTGGCTATTCAAAGGTATGAATACAGTCTCAACTCCTGCACTCAGGCAGTACTCCCACCTGTCTCCTGAGTAGGTGGGACTACAGGTGTGTGCCACTGTGTCTGGCTACATTTGCGTTTTTTTCAAATCACATTATCTTATATATATATATTTTCCCATAACATTCACTGCTTGTTTGATTGCAAAATGCTGCTTTACTTAGAAAATATGAGAAAGCAAAAAAAGATGAAAAAAGTTCATTTTAGGGTACAGGCTTCAAGTTTTTTTCAATTATATACATAAAGCAAAAACTAAAATAATATATAGTTTCATACAATTTTCACTGAATATAATACAGTATGAACATTTTTCCACTTCATCAAACATTTGTTAAAAACATCTTTTTATTTTATTTTATTTTTTTTTGAGGCAGAGTCTCACTCTGTTGGCCAGACTAGAGTGTAATGGAATGCTCTTGGCTCACTGCAACCTTTGCCTCCTGGGTTCAAGCGATTCTCCCTGCCTCAGCCTCCCAAGTAGCTGGGATTATAGATGCCCACCACCACACCCAGTTAATTTTTGTATTTTTAGTAGAGATGGCGTTTTGCCATGTTGGCCAGACTGGTCTCCAACTCTTGACCTCAGGTGATCCGCTCGCCTTGGCTTCCCTGGATTACAGGTGTGAGCCACTGCGCCTGGCCAAAAACATCATTTTTAAGGCTGTATAACTTAGATTACAAGTATCCCGTAATTTGTTTAACCATTCTACCACTGGGCATTTATTAAACAATTTTACAATATTATGAATCTTCACATGAACCTCTGTTTAGCTTTTGGTATACACTAAGAAGAGATATTTTTCTGGCTGTGGATACATACTGCCAATCTAATCCCTGAAAAAGATATACAAGGTATGAGAATTTGTATCTCACCACGTCTCAAGACACATTATGTTATAGGTTGTTGATGTTAAAGTTTACGACATCCATTTACATACTGAAATTTAAATATGTATATCTAAAAAATTAATTAGCAATACATGGATACATATGTATTATTTTTAAACATTTAATATAGATGCATATAAAGAATAAAAATTCCCATTTACAAACTTTACTCTCCATGCCACTTTTTTTCTGTATTACTGTTAAAAGCTTGGAATATATATATCCTTTCAAATATTTCATATATAATCACATAAACACAATAAAATACACAAACAGCTTTTTAGTTCTTTTAACGTACTATACAAAATCATATTATTCATATTTTTTTTTTAATTAATATATCTTGAAGAGTTTTCAGCATGAAAACAGTATCTAGCATCATGAATTAATAAATATTTTCTGAATTAAATAATTCATGACAATTTCATAGAGATCCACCTAATGCTTTTAAATGGCTACATCAGAATTGATAATAATTAATGATGCAATTTCTTATATTTGTGCACATTTATATTTTTGTAGAACAGATTATTAAATAAAAACTGTGCAGATTTAATAATTGTGCAACATGTAAGTGTTTTTAAAATACATCAATGGACTAATGTTAAAAAATATTGTGCCAGTTTATACCATCACCAACAGGGTATGCAGATACTAGTTTCACTACACTCTTGCAAAAAATGAAGATCAGTAGTCACTTTCATTCTTGCAAATTTCATAGGCAAAAAAAATAACCTACTAGAATTTGCATTCCCCTGGTTTCCAGTAAGAAGGAGTATCATTTCAGGAGCTAAATTATTCTGCTAAGGACTCATTTGTACACTGCCTCATTGTATCCTTTTTTTTTTTTTAACAAGGGTGTTGTTTTAAAATTGATACTTGAGAGCATGTTATATAGAGTGAGCACTGACCATTAGCCTGCTTTAAATATTGCAAATATTCTCTTCCAGTCTATTCTTTGCTTTCAAATTTATAGTATATTTTGTTACAAAGAAATTTCAAATCATCAATGTCTTATTTTGTCCCTTAGGTTTTTATTGGTCTTTAAAAAACCTTTTTAAAAATTGTCTGAGGGAGTCATTTCATATCCCAAGATCAGATTGTTTATATTTACATATGTATGTAATTTTTTTCTTCCTAATTTCTTTGGACACTTAACTCTTTAGTCCATTTAGAACTGTTGCTATAGCATGGCATGACGTTAACTTTACCACAATAGTTATAGACCCTGACATTACTGATATTTTATCATACACTTAGTTATTAAACATAATAGTGACTATTTTAGTGCTGTTTAATTCCACTGACTTGTCTTTTTATTCTTTTAGAGAAATCCTACCTTATTTCTTTTCATTACTGTTATTTTACATATATTTTAGTATCCAGTTGAGCAAGTCTTTCTTCATTTGTATTATTTTAAAATTACATTATTTTTTAAAAAGTTTTTCTTAGCCATCTTTACATTTCTTGAAAAGATTTTAAAAACAGGTTTAAATTTCCAGTGGGATTTTGGTTTGGACTCATTAAAATGATTGACTGGAGTAAAACTGATATATTTTAGTGATTATCTACAGGAGTATCATATGTATATTTATTCAAAATTTCTTTAATAGCTCAGTGAAACACTGCAGATGTTTTCATATTAACCGCACACATCTTAAGATTGTTTAATGTTCTTTTGAGCAATTATCATAAGAACATTAGTGACTTTTTTAAAGAAAATATTTACCTTACTTGAACTGCAGAGAAAACCTCTAGGATAGTATACAAAACTTATGTATCCTGCATATGCATAATTTTCTTAGAATACCTTTTTGAATGGGTCTAGTCCTCATTCAAATTTACATACAAAAGTATATCCAAACCAAATACATATTTTCCTTTGATTCACGCCTCTGATTTCTTCCATTAATGTAGCTGACCAAGAGTGAATGCATAGTGAAACATGCATTTAGTTAAAAACATTTAGTTTCTCAGAAAAAGAAAGGCAAATGTATCAATTTAATTGCAAGAGTGAACTGAAAAAATGATATGAGAAGCAAATTGATCTACTGAAATAAAACAAATTTTCATTTTTAAACAGTATCATTTTATAAACTTGTACAAGTGATGTTTTAAAAACGTGTCCAGAAATTATTTGAGTGAACAGAAGAAAATGTACAGCTTGATCAGTTAATTATCTTTGCTATTTCATTTATATGAAGAATAACATACTTTTTAAAAGGTAAGTTAACTTTATGCTGAAGCCAAATGAATTTTGACCAACTAAGTTGGTTCTACAATGGTTCTACAATGATCAGCCACTTTATCTTCGCATTTTAGGAACTATAAATACTTTAAGTTTTCATAGACAAAATATCTAGAATAGGAAACAGAAACCACTCAAATAACTTGATGATGTGAATCAAAAAAATCCAAGTACCTTAACTTCTTCACATAGTTCAGTAAGTCGAGCTTCTACATCCATTTCCTCTGGAAGGAGTAAAGAGTAGAGGAAATATTTCAATGTTAGATATTTAATTTATATAAATAAAATTCCCATAAAAACTGAAAATTAAGACGTATCTGGACTACATTCAATGAATTAAATTTCAAGGTAACATATTTTCATAAACATATTAATTATATAGGTAACGTGATTATTAAATTCTACATTCTGATAAATATCATTTTTCAGTTTTCACAAGAGTTAACACTGTCAAGGAAACTTAACTATATACATTAAGTAACTTGCACAACTGTGTTACAGCAAAGAGTAACTATATAATTAGATTTTACTGTACTTCATATTTTATAATTTCCAGTATGGTTTAGTATTTTGTGTTATACATACACATGCCTTGCTTTCTCGTTTTTTACAAAAGCTATTCCTAAAATGCTCAAGTAAAATCAATTTTTATAACTGAAACATTTAAAATATACCTGGGGTGTAGGCTATTTAATAAAAATGAATATCAAGATCCTTTAATAAAGTTAGTTCCTAATACATTTATTTTTCTATAAAATATTCTTAAACTGAGGCAAATATTTGCCATACAACTCTGATTTACTTAATATATGCTATAATCATCTATAAAGAGGTACACAGATTTACAATTAAAATGGTAATATTTACCTGGAAAAACAGAAACTAAAAAAAATAAAGATTTATTAATTATTTATTTTTGGCAGGGAGGAATTACACTAAGGTCTGAAATATCTTTACATACACATAATTTTTTTTTTTTTTTTTTTTTTTTTTTGAGACGGAGTCTCGCTCTGTCACCCAGGCTGGAGTGCAGTGGCCGGATCTCAGTTCACTGCAAGCTCCGCCTCCCGGGTTCACGCCATTTCTCCGGCCTCAGCCTCCCGAGTAGTTGGGACTACAGGCGCCCGCCACCTCGCCCGGCTAGTTTTTTGTATTTCTTAATAGAGACGGGGTTTCACCGTGTTAGCCAGGATGGTCTCAATCTCCTGACCTCGTGATCCGCCCGTCTCGGCCTCCCAAAGTGCTGGGATTACAGGCTTGAGCCACCGCGCCCGGCCTACATACACATAATTTTTAAGTAGAAATCAAACAGGTCTTTTAAAAGAACTGTAACAGCATAGTTATAACCATACAAAATTCCCATAATCTTGTTTGAAAGAGTTTAAATGATCCTTCTCACATAAAGGCAAGAACACATTCTGTAACATCCCTGAATTCACTCATCAGCTGACTAATTTGTAAGACAGACTGAATGTTTACTACATGATAAAAATGATAAACATTTAAATTTGTTAAAAAAAGCAATCACAATTGTATGGTAAAACACAACCACAGTATAATTATTAAGAGTAGGGAGACAGCCAGATATGAGCAGCCAAGGGAGCCTCTGGGCAAAGAAGTCCTGGAGATGCTGCCCACTGACAGTAAAAAGGGCAATGGCTATATTGGCTATACCTGGCCTTGTGGTTGGGCTCCTGCGACGCTGAAGCATGTGCACTCCTCCAATAACTCACCCTAGAATAGTCTTTTGCTCATTACAATAGTAAAAAACACACCCCGAGGTGGAGATTTTAAATGCTAACAAGACAAGCAACATGTGTACTAGCATGTACAACTACAGAGTGTGTATGCCCAAGGGGATTGCCTAAAACATGATTGCAAGTGACACCTCCTCATGCTCTTTCATGAATAATCATGTATTCTTCATAGAGTCCCCCAGCACTGGCTGCTGCTGGCTCACTCTCTCCAGAAGCTTGCTCTGCTTTATCTTTCAGAGTGCACTACTGTCTCTTTAAATAAATTCTGCTACATAACCCTTGCTGTGTGTCTCTTGGCTGAATTCTTCCTTCAACAAGAACCAAGGACACTGCACCCCTCCCGGTAACATAATGTGAACAACAAATACTCTGTTGTTAACTAAAAATCAATGGAACACATATATTTCATAACTCACAAAATATACAAGTAAAATTGTATTTAGATATTGATATATACCAAAAAATAGATCACTAATTTGGCCAACTTGTTGGTAACTAAAGAAATTTGCTATGATTTCACAAATCATTTCACTGTCAGATAAACCAGTGGCTTATCTGCATTAAAACCACCACTCCCATAGGCCAACATCTGTTTTCACATTACTCATGATCTTTTCCTGTGATAGAAAAAAATCAGGAAAATTAGTCTTAGAAATTACATATTCTACCCTCTGAGTTTTAAAAATTTGAAATAAGGTTTTGAGAGTTCTGACACATTTTTCTAATGTTTACATAGAAGAACCTAACTGCATAAATGGGTATGTTTGCATTATAACTAGTGAGAGCTACTTCAATGCAAACAGTATCTTAAAGAATGTTTAAAAGCATAATTTAACTTTAAAATCTTAGTCCTGAAAATAATTTCAAAATCACTTAGATTTTTAAGGGAGTTTAAAATCCTATTTTAATTATTTTTTCTTTTTAAAGTGACATATATAACAGACCCTTGAGCAACACAGGTTTGATCTATGCAGATGCACTTATACACAAGTATTTTTCAATAAATATTTTGGAAAGAATATGAAACTTGTAAACTATGTAGCCTAGAAATATTGAAAAAATTAAGAAAGATGAATATGTCATGATTGCATAAAAACATGTAGATACTAGTCTTTTTATGTATTAATCAACTGTTTGCGTTATCAGTAAGGCTTTCAGTGAACAGTAGGTCATTAGTTGGTAAGTATTGGAGGAGTCAAAAGTTACAGGAATATTTTTAACTGTACAGGGGTCAGTGCCCCAATTCCGGTGTTATTCAAGGGTATACTGTATATACCCATTTATACAATTCTACAGAAATATATAGATGTGATTATCATAATATATTTTGGGGGGGGCTTGGCTCCTATTACTAATCCAAGGTTACAGTCTAGAGCATATCCTCCCATATTTTTCAAATATAATATACATATACACATATGAGTTTTGGAGTCACTGTTTTGTAAAAATAGGATTGTATTTTGCACACTTTTTTGCATCTTGCCTTTTTCCTCTCAGCATTACCCCACAGTATTCTGGTACCTAGCACTAAAGCATGTTTTAAGATGACTACACAATATTCTTTGATGTAGGTGCATCATGATTTATTCTGTATTCCACTCTTTGTCCAAATAATGGGCATTGATCTTTGTTTATACTGTTTTGCCGCTAAGAACAATACTGAAATAAACATGCTTGTAGCTATATCTTTACATACTAGCTAGTATGTTATTTCTATGATACAGGTGAACAGAAGTGGGGATACTAGGCCAAAGGGTACATGTATCTATTATTTATTTTCTAAATCTATCCATTCATTCAACAAATATTTATAACACAGCTCAGACAATGGCAATATGATGTTAGGTTTAAGGATAAAAGATATCTCAACAAAAGTGTTTTAGTTTTGAATCAAGTATTTTACTACCCAACCAAGATCTGGCCCATTTTTTTTTTTTAATAGATCTTTTTACATTAAACTGCATTCTATAAAATTATTTAGAATGCTCACATGTAAACTGATAGGCTGGCAATAAAATAGTTTAAATTAGAAGTATATTTGAATTGCTTAAAAAATGCTAAAATGTCATAAATGACCATAATTTCATACTATGCATTCTTTAATTTTACAGTAACTTTATATGAGAATATAATACTATGTTCCAAAAAGAATGACAATAAATTTTCAACTATTCTTTTTCCTTTCTGACCAGAAAAATCAGTTTCTCTTAACAGTCTTAGTGAAAATTAACATAACTCAAATATTTCTGAGTTAGTTTTCACCTGAGAAATGTTGAGAAAGATTTTGGCTTTTTAACTTCCTTCAGTTCATACCTCTGAAAATTGAGAAATAAATACTGATTTTATTTCACTCTTTGATTCCTACAGCTTTTCACAATCTTCTTAAAAAGTAATTGTGATAGTTTATTGAACACAAAGTGAAAACTTTTAATATACTTATAGATAATAAATTATTATTGCTATTCAAGAAAAGTCTAACTTATATATGAAAATGTATAATAAAATAATGAGATCAGAACATTTCCTTTACCATGTACAACATATCCAGATAGTGGTGATTTGATGTTATTTTGCTTTTTAAATGTAGAATAACAAAAAATAAATGAAAATTGACTGAAAAAAAAAAAACCCAAAAAAACCAAAAAATAACGACACAACCCAGATCCTGATAGGATATTTCTCTTCTCTATTCTTTTTTTTTTTTTTTTTTTTTTTTTGAGACGGAGTCTCGCTCTGTCGCTAGGCTGGAGTGCAGTGGCCAGATCTCAGCTCACTGCAAGCTCCGCCTCCCAGGTTCCGCCATTCTCCTGCCTCAGCCTCCCGAGTAGTTGGACTACAGGCGCCCGCCACCTCGCCCGGCTAGTTTTTTGTATTTTTTAGTAGAGACGGGGTTTCACCGTGTTAGCAGGATGGTCTCGATCTCTCGACTGCGTTATTCCGTGCCCGTCTCGGCCTCCCAAAGTGCTGGGATTACAGGCTTGAGCCACCGTGCCCAGCCTTTTTTTTTTTTTGAGATTGTCTCACTCTGTTGCTCAGGCTGGAGTGCAGGAGCATGATCTTGGCTCACTGCAACCTTCACCTTCCGGGTTGAAGCAATTCTCCTGCCTCAGCCTCCCATCTCGTTTCTATTTCTGCAGTGCAGAAAACTAGGTTTAGTATTTTTTGAGGTGGAGTTTTGGTTTTGTGGCCCAGACTGGAGTGAAATGGCACAATCTCGGCTCACTGCAACCTCTACTGCCCAGGTTTAAGCAATTCTCCTGCCTCAGCCTCCGAGTAGCTGGGATTGCAGACATGCGCCACCAAACCTGGCTAATTTTGTATTTTTAGTAGAGATGGGGTTTCATCACGTTGGTCAGGCTAGTCTCGAACTTCTGACCTCACGTGATCCACCCACCTCGGCCTCCCGAACTGCTGGGATTACAGGAGTGAGTCACCATACCCTGCCTGGTTTCGTTTTAAAACACATTTCATTATCACTAGGCCTAGCCAAAGATAAAATAACAGCAAATTTAAGGCAATGTCATTAAACCAACAAATTGTAGTAATAATCATGGTTTTGAAAAAGTACTCTTCATAGAAACTTTAAAAAACACATGAAAAAAGCCAGAGAGTTTTGCATTTACCATTTCCAGACTTAAGTAAAAACTTCAATATTACAAATTAGGAAATTAACCAAAATTTATCTACAAACCAAACTGATTTTAAAGGTAAGTTCTTCAGAATGGTGGAAACATACTATATTATTAAATATATATTTATGAAATCTGATGCTAATTTAAAGCAAAATTTCATACTAATTAATTAATTAAAAGGGATCATTTACTTAAGCTATTTGTAAACGTACCTAGATGGTTGTCTTTCTGTGTTCGTGGCTGTTTTCTTCTGAGAAGACGCTCATATAGGAGCTGCATGTTGGCCTTGGCTAGTCATAAGGATTGCACACAGCACTAGTTACTATACTCCTTTTATAACAAAACTTACTAGAATTTTCCAGCTTGTTAATAATAGACTTAGTGTTTATCTGATAGTGCAGTTAGTTAATTAGCTTATCAAAATTACAAATGATGTACATTCGAGTATATATTTTTGGTTTTTTAATTTAAATGCATGTGTCGCTCAACATTTCATAATTCAATATGTTTTAATTTATTAGACTCAGAATTTTAGGTTGGCAGGGATCTCAGAGTTAACTCCCTGCTGTTACAAGTGTAGATACTGGGGTTCAGATAGGCTATGTGACTTGCCCAAACCTAATTCCAGAACTCCTGACTCTCATGTTCAGTAAGAGCTCCTTGCACCAAACCAATATTTAATTATATGTCATCAGAAAATGTACATCATTCATCTAGGAGAAAAGAAAAAGGCAAAAAAGCAGAAAGGAACTCAAGCATTATTTTAAAAGAGGGAACATATTTTAGAAAAGTTTTCAAAGCATAGTAAAGTTTAATAAGTTTAAATATATGCTTATTTGAAAACTCAATGAAAGTGGTAAAAAGGGAAATATTCTTTAATCAAGAACTACTCTGTATCCACTTATTAAAACTGGTGAATATAGTGGTGTTTGGTCAACAGTACATTATAGAAATATATTAGTGTTCACAATTTTATTTTGCTAGAATAAAAATAAAAGACATCGATAGTTTAGAATATGTAACAAATACTCTTATTTTTAATAGTTAATAGTATTTTTAGATGTTTTCTTACAAGATGCAGTCAAGAATAAACTAAAATTCACAATAAAGAGAAAGGAAAATATAAACCGTAAAGTTTAAGAACAACACAATATATTACCAATATTTATTGAAGATGAATCTTGATTTTAAAAATCCATAGAAAACTGTTAAGCTTTATGTTGATGCCTACACTTTTTCAAGTAACAATGAAAACTGTTGCTATTTCATTCATTCATTCAAGAAATGTTTTAAGTAAATCTATGTGTAAGGTACTAGTAATTTTATTTCTATCATATACTTATTTAAAACTGAAGTCTGGGTTTGCTTTAGAATTTTATTTTCTGATAAAATATTTTAAGCAAATAATTTGGAATAAAGTTGACAATCATTTTGTAATTAACTTCTGAAATTAAATATAAGGGCACTTTATTATGATACTTCCTATATTACATCTCTAAGCCCAAAGTAACATACATGACATAAAAGCCATCCTCACCAGAAAAAAGTTGAAAATCTTATGAATGCATGATCATGCTGAAGTTAGACTGATAAATTAATAATAATTGCTAACACCGTCTAAGCCAGGGCTCCCCAACACCCAGGCTGTGGACTGGTACTCGTTTGTGGCCTGTTAGGAACCAGGCGGCACAGCAGGAGGTAAGCGGCAGGCGAGCAAGCACTACTTCCTAAGCTCTGCAGCGGCATTAGATTCTCATAGGAGCATGAACGCTATTGCGAACTGTGCATGTAAGGAATCTAGGTTGCATGTTCCTTATGACAATTGAACTAATGCCTCATGATCTGAGGTGGAATAGTTTCATCCCGAAACAATCCCTTCCCCCAATCCGTGGAAAAATTGTCTTCCAGGAAACTGGTCCCTGGTGCCAAAAAGGTTGGGGACTACTGGTCTAAGCTATTTGAAATAAATATTTGCCTTTAAAGGAAGAAACATTTTTATTTAATTACTAATTATAAATTTTACCAATAAACATACTTCCTTTTAAAGAGGATTTTTTTCTAAGTTAAAATGTGGTTCATATGTTTTTCATTTGTAAATATTACATGTTAAATCTACTTTAATATTATATGCAGATGGACATCTTCCTTATACAGGTATTTATAAGCCCATCTCATATATTAAAACCCCAAGAAGCCCCATTTTGCTGGGTGAATTTCTCCTTCCCATCCCAATGCTAAGCTGATTTCTTACTACTGTTGCTGTGAGAGAAGAGGGAAGAGGAGAAGTCAAAGTTCTTTAAAGGCAGGGACCTCTTCTTTCCTCAGCACCTAGCACAGTAACTGACACAGGAGGTGCTCATTAAAAGCCCAAGGGAAGTACACCGTTAAGAAGTATTGTTCCTAGAGATCCTTTACACCCTTTGTCTTTTGGATAATCTCACCTTTGATTCCTGGCACATGTACCATATCTGATTCCCTTCAATCTCCTTACCATGTGAATGGAAACCACTTTGTGTTTGTAGGCCCAAAGTAAGTAAGTGACAGAAATGGTTCCATATGTGCACTCTTGAACATAAGATAATGCCTTCTTGAATCTACTGTAGCATTCCACATCAAAACTATTAATACTTATTTTTTTTTTTTGTAGAAATGACATTACACATGGATTTTAAGCTTTACATCACTACTTTTCATAACACTATTTTTCAGGCACATGATATTGTCCTTCATTAATATGGTAGTATAATAGTTTTGTGGTCTGGTCATTAAATCTAACTAAAATTTGTAATATAATTCTTCTACAAAAATGTTTTTGATTTCCAAACCACCACTAAAGATATTTGAAACATAATTTTCCATTAAGGATAAGTGATAGCCTAAATTAGCTCTATTCTATAAATGATTCATTTTCTTTTTTTCTTTTTTTTTTGAGACGGAGTGTTGCTGTGTCGCCCAGGCTGGAGTGCAGTGGTGCGATCTTGGCTCACTGCAAGCTCCACCTCCTGGGTTCACACCATTCTCCTGCCTCAGCCTCCCCAGTAGCTGGGACTACAGGTGCCTGCCACCATGCCCGGCTAATTTTTTGTATTTTTAGTAGAGACGGGGTTTCACCGTGTTAGCCAGGATGGTCTCGATCTCCTGACCTCGTGCTCCACTCGCCTCGGCCTCCCAAAGTGCTGGGATTACAGGCGTGAGCCACCGCGCCCAGCTGATTCTTTCATTTTCAAAAGAGAACATTTTAAAAAATTTACATTTGAGGTAGTAGCTGTCTATAGAATTTTCCTAAGGGAAACAGGAATTCTAAAAACATAAAGTAGCAAGGAAAATAGAGACTGTTTCAGAGAATAATGATCAGAAGATTATCTTTTCCATACTACCATTTTTGTTTTGAGAATGAATACATGGTCAAAAAAGAACAAATGTATTTTCCTATTGCTTGTTTATGAAACCATTAGGATTACTGAATCAAGAATTCTAAACAGTCAATTTAGTGATATCTATGTCTAGTCAAGAAAGTGTGAGCTGAACTGACTGAATAATGGACTTAATCAATTAATTAAACTGGAATAGTTGCTGTTAGTGGCACAATAGCCAGCATTTTCTTACAGCTGAATTTAAGTGGGGTAGAAATTCTTACACTTTCTTGCAATTCCTGTGTAATCCAACACAATTTTTTAAGTAGTCTGATTAGTCTCAAACCCAAGAACTATGTTCAGTAACAGTGACTACTTTAGGGAGTGCACTAGTATTGTTAAAAGACTGAAATCCTTGAGGAACAAAGGAAAGAAAGAATACTGATTCTATACATTTTAAAAGGCAATTTATGATTTATTAAAAAACATAATTATAAAACAATATATTCTAAAAAGATTAAAATATATTTCTATAAGCTCTTAGCCAATATTTGAAAATAAAAGCTAATAAAACTGACATAAAAAGTCTGAATAAGAACTTATTTTGCCAGTCCCAATAATTTATCTTCTGTGAAATAATATATGTAAAAGCATTTTGCAAACTACAAATGGTATACAAAATCAAGGCAATATGATTTTTTATTATGTACTACAAATATATACAGGTACTACACTTTTGGATACAACCTGAAGCTTGATTTTTTTAAGCAATTTAAATGATTTTTAAAATGTTAAAAAAGTAAGTAATGTTGTTATTCCCTAAAACAATATGAAAGGAATTTGAGATCTGAGATAACTATTATAAAATCAAATGTAAACAAAAATGCCCTAAGTACCTACAATCTGATTAGACTGTAAAATATTTGGAAGTATGGATTTAATTTACCTTCCTATGATTCTGCAGATAATTACATTTGCTTTCTAGCATGTTTTTGGGTTATATTTTAAGAGGAACAGTATATTGACATGTTTTTTTTAAAAGACTCGTTTCAAATTTAGCATGAAGAAGCTATTTTTTAGCATTCTGAAAAACATTTTTAAACTGCAAAAAGTGATTATCAAGGTAGAAAAAGATGGAATTGAGAGAGAAGTAAAGTGAAGCACACACACACTGTAGTTTTAGTATAGAAAAACTATGGCAAAGCTGGTAGCTAGCAATATAAGAATGAAGAGAATGATTTGAACCGTAGGATAGGTCTCGCTACTTTTAACATACCCAGTTCTAGTTTCTGACAAGAGGGAATCTCTTCTGTTACCGTAATGAAGTAGCTGTGCAATCCCTTGAAGGCTAGCAGCAAAGTGGCACAAAGTGTATAATGAAAACGATAGGCATGATGTAGGAAGGAGTCTGCAATGATGAAGCTACAACCCTAAACAAGAAACAGATGTAGGATACAGAGTGTCAGTAATACAAAATGTTATATTTGAAACTTGCAAAAATAAAGAAAAAATACTTAACCATCTGTCAACTAAATTTATTCTAATACATATAAAAAATTTGGTAATATTTGAGAGTTGTTCAAACAATAAATTTAAGCATGAAATGTGGTCCTAGTAATTTCAGTTACAGTGGATTTTTATAACAAGTAGATTAAATTATTATTTTTGATAGCATGTTATTTATATTACATTTAGACTGAAGCACACTCAGCTTTTATAGTATGTCCCCTTTTCTTTTACAATAATAGCTGTACTTCCATTACTCTTTCTTTTTTTAATTTCTTTTTTTTAGATACAGGGCCTCAGTTTGTCACCCAGGCTCGAGTGAAGTGACACGACTGCAGCTTACTGCAGCCTCAACCTTCTGTGCGCAAGCGATTCACCTGCCTCAGGCTCCCTAGCAGTTGGGACTACAAGCACGTGCCACCATTATTTTCCATTATTTTTTGTAGAGGTGGGGTCTTGCTATGTTGCTCAGGCTGGCATCAAACTCTTGGCCTCAAGCAATCCTCCAGGCTAAGCCTCCCAAAGTGTTGGGATTACAGGTGTGAGCCACCACGCCTGGCCTGCGCTACTCTACCCTGGGTCTCGGCTCTGGCAATTATTCTTTAAAGACTCCTTTGGAATACTTCTACCAGTTCTGTTAAAGGACCAAGGCGTAATAGTAACAAGTTAAAGGGCACAGGCTGTCAAAGACGTCTATCCACTAAATCTGGTAACATTTTGAAGTATCACGTTTTCATAATAGACAATTAGAACCAAACAATATTTTAAGATCACATTTAATTAGATCTATAAGTTGCTGAGCTCAAATAATTAAAAAAAGGAAAACATCATTCATAGATAAAATAGTTAAAAACACTTCTTTTAAAATACGGAAAAGATTTATAAACATATTCAGTTCTTACATCTGGTGATAACTGTTTTGTGTAGTTAATACCAAAGACCACACTTTCAAGAGTAGGAATCACGGAATCTTTGTTTTGTGCTGGTGCATTTCTATTTAACCAAGTTGTCTTCACAGGGCGAGGAAAGCTGGAGGAAGAAGTATTATATTATTACTGTCATAAGAGTCTATTTGAATGTAAGTTAAATATTTACAAAGGAAAATCTTATAGGAATAGAAGAGCAAGGGTTTTGCAAGTTTATGAGTTCTAAAGTATTCCTAAAGTAATTGTAAAAAATAATTTGAATAATCATGAAAAAACAAAATGACTATTAAAAAACTAGGGCTAGATGTTTGACATTGCTTGCTATAATTAGACTTCTGGAAGTCTCAAAGAACATCAAAGACAAAACATGGTGGGATCTAGAGTGGCTAAACAACAAATGAAAGCCAAGCTTGAATTTGGAAATCCTAAAGTCGGAACTGGTTACCAAATTTACAATGTTAACACTTAATCAAATATGAATGCTATTTACAGAAATAAAGAGCTCCCATGTAAATGTAGAAACACAAAAATTACTAAATCTACCTGATGCCTCTATTTCTCAAAAATAAGTTTCTTTCCCTTTATTCTCTTTACTAAAAGGCTATGAGCTCTATTAAAATAATTTTTATTATTCAAGTCTCTAGCAGCTGGAACTACAATCATGTGCCACCATGCTTGGCTAATTTTTATTTTTTGTAGAGGTGAAGTCTTGCTATGTTGCTCAGGCTGGTCTCAAACTCCTGGTCTCAAGCAATCCTCCAGCCTCCAGCTTCAAGGCACCATCAATCACATATTATATGAATTACTTCTGTTAGTATTAACATTTATATTCCATAGAGGAAGAAGCATATTTCTGTTAGAATGTTGAAAAGTCACACACAACTATATTTGAGATAAAGTAGGACAAAGCATTTGAACTGTTTGACAGTTTGGCAAAAGGGAAAACACATAAAAGAAAAACAATATAAGAAAAAATAAGCAGAGTGCAGGTTTTGTTTGTAAAATCCATTTGCTTTGCAAAAGTAAAATGTCTATATCCCAGCAAAGAAGGGAGTCTCAAATAAGTGGTAAATTCCACTTGCTATAACGTGTTTTCCAGAACTGTTATAAAAGTTGTACTTAAAAAATTCAAATATAAGAAATAGTTCAAATAAAAAACAAGCAAAGAAAGAAATTCTAAGCCACTTACTTTAAGTAACTGATATAATGTCTGTAGATTGGGTTGACCATAAAAATTGTTTTAAATAAAAACAAAAATTTAAAAGATGTTATAAATTTAAAAATTTTCAATTTTTGGAGGATTAAAAAAACCCCACCAATAATAAAACTTCAGGAAAAACCTGTTGAAGAATATAGAGTAGGAAATGTTACCCTCAGATACGACCCCTTTACCAGCACACCACCAGCAAGAAGCTTCCCCTTCCCCTTTCCTTGCTTTCCTTTTCCGACCTTTCATTCATAGGTACAGAAAGGCTGGTAAAGATGCTGCTGCTTTTATAGCGAAGTTCTAGCAGCAAGAGAGAGTTAGATATAAGGGCCCATGGCAGCTAGGTAAAGAACAGCAACCTCAGCTGTTACGGGCATATTGTTTTCTTTTCTAGTCACTAACCAGAGCCAACAGTTAATCCTCTTGGCTTCTGATTCTGAGCCAAAAATTTGTTCTTCCAGTAAATGGTCTCTAGGAGATGAGCTGCCCCTTTCTCCTATTAGTCTATGGCAAAAATTGCCGCATTGCAAGAAGCAGCACATATTTAACTCACTATGATGGTGATGTGAATATCTACTCTGTTTAATTAGGGCCTTAAAAAGCAACATTAATAACCTAAGCTAACCTCCTATGAATTGTTTGCGCATTTTTCAGGAGAGAAACACAGCTAGTTTTATGAAGATAATCTTGGTAAGTCTTAAAAAGAAATAGTTAAAAGAGTTTAATTAGAGATTCTTCTTAAAACTTCAAAAAGAAGAGATTTAGAAAAATAGAGTAATATATTTTATAAACAGATAAACATTTAGCATTAAAAACCAAACACATAATCATATAAAAGCAATACTGTATGTTATTTAAAAGTTATATTTCAAAAAAACATACTTTGTTAGAAAAATTTCATTCATATTTTCTATTTCAGAAAATCTTCCAAAAAATTTTTAAGCTTATAATAAAATTATGTATGTAATAAAAAACACCTTCCTGTTTATAAAAGCTATAATAACTTAGCACAACCTCTCAAAGGCCTAGGAAGTAAGAAAAAGACAGCAAAACTATCAGTTATAGATCTTTCCATAGAATAAAGAAGTCAAAACAAGTCATCAGGTGAAATATATGTCTTCCTGGCCTGGTGCTCTAAAAGGAACTAGGTCAAGGTGATCTACATGTAAGAGATGAGAGAGCAACAGAATGAAAGAAGCTTTCAATTAGTTTTTAAAACAATGTAAAGATATGCCATAGGAGGTTATTACCTGTGGTCAATATGTTAAATTGTGTTGGGCTTCCAGAAATTCTGAGGGTAATTTTGCAAAATGATCTACTTAGTTTTCTGATAAATCAGCTTACCATCATATCCCTTAAGCAACCTCCCTAATATCAATTGTCAGAATCAGATGTGCATCGGAAATTGCAGACAGTTTAGAAATCAAATAAATTTGGAGACTTTCATATAATTTACTGATTTGAAGCATCCATCTGCTGCCCATACTACAAGGATGATGTAAAAACTGAAGACCTTGCATTGTATTTTTACATTAACGAAAGAAATCTGTCTACCCATGGAAATGAACAGAAAAAAATAATTATCTCAATGCATTTATTATGATACAGGATATTATATACCTTTGAACTAATGGTACATGATATAGTTTTAAAAGGCTGAGTAAAAATTCGTAAAATTGGTTAATAACTTGGAAAGCAAGAATTACTGTATAATGTACAGTTAAGAAGATAAAATTAGTCTATCTGGGTAAGAGGCAAAGAAAAAATAAGAAAAAATTCACATACTTTTCCAGAGTAATTATAGTATAACATTGCACAAAACATAGGTACAGAATAAACAATGTTGTGTGGTTATTTCCAGATTGTATTTTTTCTTTGTTAATTTATTTGGGATTGACAAAGATGGCTTCATACTTCTGTAATAAAAAAGTTATCAAGCCAATGTTCCCATACTCTTGAATTTGATTATAATTTTTAAAGTCCTTATTATTTCAGTTATCTTTAGAAATTACATGTTTTCACTATAAAAATAAAAAACGCTACATTAAGAAGGCTCTCATGTTGAATTGTAATCCTCAATGTTGTAATGGGGCCTGGTGGGAGGGGACTGGACCAGGGGGACAGATTTCTCATGAATGGTTTAGTACCATTCCTCTTGGTACTGTCCTCATGATAGTGAGTGAGTTCTCATGAGATCTAGTCATTTAAAAGCATGTAGCAACTCCCCTGACTCTTGTGCTTCTGCTCCAGCCATGTGAGATGCCTGCTCCGCTTTTGATTTCTGCCATGATTGTAAGTTTCCTGAGGCCTCCCCAGAAGTTAAGCAGATGCCAGCATCATTCTTCCTGTATAGCCTGAAGAACCATGACCCAATTAAACTCTTTTCTTTATAAATTGCTCAGTCTCAGGTATTTCTTTACTACAGTGTAAGAATGGCTTAATACAAAAATATTAGTCAAATTTACCTTATTAGTGGCTGGTGTAGTGCAACCAATGATGCATGAACTGTAACAGACACAACAGAAAGGTGGAAATAATCAAACATAACATTAACATGATGATGAAGGCCTCTATGGGGGCTAAAGTGCAGCTTCAGTGTTCGGCTACTTATTAGTTGCAAGGCATTCAGATCATCTGCCCTGTAAAAAGGAACAATTAGCATGTAAGTATGAAATATTTAGTAAAGGCCAATATATTATAGAGTAGTTGAAACTATAAAAACCATTTACTTAATTACTTTTTAAAAATTTTGAATTAAAGTAATTTTTAAAGCATCAAATTTGCATTAGAAAGCAGTATGAAACATACCAATTGAGAAAGTAATCAGATCCCACCTATTGTTTCCTATCAGTCCATAATATGAACTATTTTTTCACCAATATCCCTATAAAATGAATCCTTTTTGATACTTCACGAGTTAATCTCATCTTAAAGAAAATTTTACCCCATAGAGAATACTGTTATTACGAGACTGCAGTACAACATAGGTCACATGCTATTATCATAAACCCCAAAAGATATTTCAAATTATTTTTACTCTACAAAATTTTATTAAGTGCTGCTCAAAAACAAACAGACTATTGCTTATTTTAAAAAGTAAAACATATCTTACTGTAGGTATTTAGTATGTCATTAGTTATACATACTAAAAATGTGAAACAATGCCATGAAAATGACATCCACTTATACTTAAAAAAATTCCATCCATACATTGTAACTATCTATAGGTAATGAACTACCAATTCATTTCAGCTTATTCCACTTAAAGAATTCTGACTTGGTTAAAAAAAAAAACCAATAAACCCTTATGAAATTCTTTGTAATGAACAAGTATTACAGAGGAACAGTAGCTACCATATAAAAAAACTTTTTTCTCATGATAGTGAAGAGGACATCTAAAGTAGGCCTTTTAGTAATGTGACTTTTTAGTTACTTATCCCACATGGAGTCTGAATTTATATATAATTTTTCAAAATTATTGCTAAAACTACATTTGAGATGGGGGAAAAAACCTGCATAAATAAAATTGTTAAGTGAACCTCTGATTCTTGTTTTAAATGAACACAAGCAAAATTTGTCCCTAAAACATATGACTGCATGTCCAGGTGTGTGGGCAAGTTGGAGGTAGCCAATCCTAAAACTTCCTCAAGGGTTCTAGAAATGAACTACAACAACTGTCAAGTATGTGTCATCAGACTTGATAACTCTCAGAATATCAACAAAGTCCTACCTAAAGAAAGCATAACTGACGCCATCAGGAAAGATTAGCCAGTGATAGAGTAGAAAAGAGTTCAATTACATTTAAATGCCTCATGGTAGTGGTATTAACAGTGCAATTTCTAGGAGCCAGGAAAAATTGTTCCATATTTCTTTAACTTGTCTGGTTTTGTTATCTGGAGATCATGGATTTGGCAAGGGCAAAATAGAGATGGCCTAACCATTTTCATGAAGTTTCCCCAGAAAACACATGCAGTTCAAGACAAGATAGCAATAGGATGAATTTTAAGAAGAAAATGGGTAATCTAATAATAGCAAATAACAGTCATAAGTGTCTAAAGGTTTTTTAATTGTTTGATTAGCTACTTACGAATAATCTCCATCTGTGAAGTGTAGATCCAAGGATAACAGAAAATTCATTTCCTCAAGGGTTTCTTCAATCTGAAAAGAAATTACACTATGAGATACTTTTTGAATCTTTATAGAAAGTTAGAAATAACACATTGAGGCATTACAAAAAATATTTATATAAATTAATATGAAGAGATGTTTACCTTTCTTTCATCCAATAACATTTTTACTTTGAAGATCATAACATCATTTAAAACAACCTCTTCATTTTTGTACAAAATTTGAAATGTTTTACTGCAAATTAGAGAATCATGAACTGAGGCTGGAAAGGCTAAAGTCATACCTAAAACAGATAAGATATGTAATTGACAGGTAAAAAGTAAAATATAAGACAAGCAAATTAATACTTGTACTTTAAAATACTATATGTTTGATTATATTACTACAGTGTCATTACCAATTTATACTGCAGTATTGGAACATTTCTGAAAGTTTACTTATTTCTATGATTAGAAAATAAATAAGTACATTATAACCATTGTAAAATTACTGCATGACATCTTAATCTGAAAGGTAAATGAGGAAATATCAAAGTAGAAATTTTAGAGGTTAACAACTGATCTGTATACCACATTTAAGAAAGCAATTTAGTTTTCCATAGCTGAATAGTAAAGAATTTGGTTGGCCTTTGTCCTGGTTGCTAGGAGTTCAGCTCTAAATACTTGGAATGAAGAATTTGGCTGGCCTTTGTCTCCAGTTTCTGAGAAGTAGCCTCTAAATCCTTGGTGGCCCCTAGTTTATGCTAAAGAGATGACTCAGGATGGGGGCTGGCCACATCACTAAGACCAGCCATGTGATTAGAGAGTTGAGCTTTGAGCCTAGTGATGTAACCTCAAAATCCAGAGAGGGGAGAAGAGTTAAAGACTGAGTGACATGGGCAATGATTCAATCAGTCATGCCTACACAAGGAAATATTAATAAAAATTCTGAACATTGAAGTTTGGGTGAGCTTCTCTGGTTGGCAATACTCTGCATATCATCACATACTGGATGTTCGAGAGGAGGGAAGTTAATGCGTGCTGGCTTAACGGGGAGAAAACAACGGAAGCTTCACATCTGGGAACTTCTCAGATCAACCCTATACAGGTTCTGATTTGAATCCTTTTGCTATAATAAAGCTGTAATAATAAGTACAGCACTATGCTGAGTTTGGTGAGTTGTTCTACTGAATTATCAAACATGAGGGAATAATGGGAACCCTCAAATTTGTAGCCACCTCTTCACAACTGTGGGTAGCTTACAGACCACTAAACTCATGGCTGACATGAGGGGAGTCTTGTGGAGGATTACGTCCTTACCATTTGAAGTTTGGTTTTTATCTCTGGGTCACTGATCTCACTCCAACAGCCTACCTGCTGTTATGATCTTATTACCCTGTGCTGCAGAAATAACAATTGAAACTAGGGACCAAAAAGAAACGAAAAAAAAAAAAAAGAAAAAGAAACTAGAGACCAACGTGGGTTTGGAGCTTAAAATGGGATATAAGACTCCAACTGGAGTAGTGAGGATATCTACATAAGCTGGTGGATGTCAGTCAAAGGCAGGGAGCCTCTGCAGGCCAGGGAGCGCAGGGTTCAAATGCCTACATGAAATTCACATGGGGTGGTGGCCTGATGTCAGAGCCTGTGTGGAGTGAGGAGGGCAGCCGAGAGTAAACTGTCAGAACCTGAGCAGGATGAGGAGGCAATCTAAGTGCAGGGGTGACTTCCAGCGAGGCACTGGGAGCCCAAGCAGGATGAATAGGGTAACCACAAGGGAAGGCACCTCAGGCTGGGGGGTTGGAACCCAAGTTAGATGGAGAGGGTGTCTTTACAGAGGAGCAGACTGGTACAGGGTGTGTAGGAACCCGAAAGGCATAAAAAGACTTCCATATGGGGGTGGGAGTGAAGAAGGGAGTAGGCAGAAGTAGCAGCCTGACACACTACTGGAATCCAAGTGAAGTGAGGAAAAGGAGTTCCTGGCACAAGGCCTTACTGAGATCAAGTGGGGTAAGGAGGGGGTCCACATAAGGGAGTGACCTTGCATAAGGTGAAGCCCAACGAGTTCAAGGAGACCATCTGTGTGGGAGAAGAAGCAGTGACAGGAGATTGGCAAATATAGGGGACTGATCAAATAAGGAAATATATTAAAGGATAAGGGGAGCCAGTTTTCTTACCTATCGGGGAAAGGATGTACACATATGGAAAGGAGATACAAATATAGAATGAGTCCCATGGTACTGGATTGAAACAGAGTACTGATATGAACTTATGGTTTTCACCATATATTTATATAAAGCCATGTAAATTTGCATATGTATGTGTAAATGTATAGGTGTATACAATGTACTCACTATCTTTGTCCACTCAAATGGTCTGGGAGTAGCACAACCACAAATGTTAGTCTTTAGCACTATTCTCCGCTAAAACGATTCACAGCTTTGCAGAAATGGTTGGTTCCAAAGCTGGGGCACAGACAAATCTGGACCATCTTTTTATACTAGAAAGTAAGGAACTGATTAGAGAATGTGGGGACACAACAAAAGGGCATAGAAGCTAGCTGAAAGAGAATGCCCCTGGCCATATCTGGGACAAAGTAAGCATCAAAATAAATTATGACAGTAATGGATTAACATCCATTGAGTAAACAGAAACCCGTAAGTCCATACTGATAGAAATAAATAAGTGAACGAAAAAATCAGAAGTTTAAGAAACAAGAGACATTAATTGCAAAGTGAAAAAGAGTAACATCATAGTGGAGAAGCTGGAAAGAGAGCACTTTAATTAAGTGATCCAAGTTAACATTATTAGGAATTGGACAAATAGAAACCATGTATCACCTAACAGGATGTAACAAGAAGAACAAGCATCACTTCTGAGATATTCCTGTCAAAAACACATAAAATGAATCTAATCATGATGAAATTGTAAACCCATGAAAATTGAAGAACATTCTAAAAAATAATAGGTTTGTAGTCTCCGCAAAAGTGTCAGGGTCATGAAAGTCAAGAAAAGACTGAGGAATTGTTCTAGGATGAAGGAGACTAGAGAGACGTAACAATTAATTACAATATATGATTTGGAACTGGATCATTTTGCTATAAAGGACTTTACTGGGACAACTAGCAAAACTTGGATGGGGCTAAGGATAAGATGACAGTAATGTGTCTGTTAATTTCTTGATTTTGATGGGTATACTGGGGTTATGCAGAAGAATATTCTTTAGAAAAAAATGATGCACTAAAATATTTCAGATGATGGAGCAATCATATTGACAAATTACTCTTACATGGTTCAGGAAAAAAATTCTTTATGCTGTACTTGCAACTTTTCTGTTAAGTTTGAGATGTTTCAGGAAATATATACTTAAAGGGAAACCAACTACACCAGAAACTCAACTTCTGAGTATGTTAAAGAGCTGAGAAGGGAAAGAAATTTTACTCAATAAAAGTAAATTTTGTTTAAAGCATCCAGGTAATGTGAGGTGAGAATCCACTGCCTAAAGAAACAAAGTTTTCTCTACTGCTCTTCCCTGAAGATGCTGCTTCTCTCTCAATACTTCCATAAAACTTCTACCACTGGGTCTGGAGCTTCTTTGTTGCTTACTGATGCTTTCAGACATTCTTTGTCTCTCCTCCCTAAAACCACTTATACCACTGGCTTTGAATGTCCTGTGATCAGACAGTACAGTACTACTCACTATCTTGCTCATTTTTGTACTCTATAAACCCTGGGAAGCCTTCATTTGTTAAAGGCTTTATTTCCTAATTTAAGGTCACTTTTTCAAAAACTAGTCTACCCATAACTCTTGGTGAACTCAACAGCTATGTAGGTAAACCTTCTAATTTTTGATCTCCTGGGTTCCTTTTTTCCTCTTTTTAAGTGTTCTTGCCCTCTAACCCTCTCAGCTCCTCACTCCTGTGATCATTCCCTAGACTTTTATATTACTAATGACTGCAATCCATCTGTAATCCGAATTTCTTTTTTTAAATTTCCAACTTTTAAGTTCAGGGTACATGTGCAGGATGTGCAGGTTTGTTATACTGGTAAATGTGTGCATGGTGGTTTGCTGCACAGATCATCCCATTCCCCAGGAATCAGGCCCAGCATCCGCTAGGTATTCTTCCTGATCCTCTCCCTCCTCCCACCCCCTACCCTCCAACAGGCCCCAGTGTGTGTTGTTCCCCTGGATGTATTCATATGTTCTCATCATTTAGCTCCCACTCATAAGAGAGAACATGTGTAATGTCTGTTGTAATGTGAATTTCAATCAACCTCTCCTCCCATACTTCCACCTGTCTTTCTAGTTCATACCCTCTAAGACCACAAGTTCAACAATCCTTTGACTACATTTAGGATAGATTCCATGAACCATACTCCATTTCATTATCCCATTTCTCGTAATTCCTTTTTTCCTTACCCATCTTAAATCCTGTGATCCATCATTATAATACTCTTGCATATAAACTATTAAGGATATACGCTACTCTTGCTTTGTCATATTGACCTGGATAAATCCCAACTCCAGCTCTCTGCCCAATCCATACTTGTACCCACAAACTGAATGTGCCTGGAGAAAAATACACAGCTATCTTGACTGGCTATACTTCAAATTTATGACTATTAATTTCAAGTGGGTCTTTACTGCTGCCTAGCAATCACACTGTATTTTCCAAATCCATTTTATCCCCATATTCTTAGATGACTATTTCATAAATTATTTTCTCTCCTCAAACCTAGCCTTCAGTCTCACTGATAAATTTGGTTCTTATTTCATGAGAAAATAAAAATAATCAGAAGTTCTATAAGCTCTACTACTGAATCTACCTGCAGATGCACCTAGACAAACTCCCTATTTCTCTGCTCCCCTTTCTGGCAAAACTCAAAAGCCTTTGCTATTTAGTGTGTCTGATTCATCTCCCATTCTCTCTTCAGCTCATTGTGTGATAACCAGCCTCTAAAATGGCCTCCAACGATTCTCTTCCTGATATTCACACTATTGCACAATCTCCTACAAAGGACCAGGGTTGATCTATGTGATAGAAGTGATAGGAGGAGCTGGGCACGGTGGCTCACGCCTGTAATCCCAACACTTTGGGAGGCCGAGGCAGGTAGATCACTTGAGGTCAGGAGTTTGAGACCAGCGTGGCCAATATGGCGAAATCCTGTCTCTAGTAAAAATACAAAAATTAGCTGGGTGTGGTGGCAGCCACCTGTAATCCCAGCTACTTGGGAGGCTGAGGCAGGAGAATTGCTTGAACCTGGGAGGCAGAGGTTGCAGAGTGAGTTGAGGTTGTGCCACTGCACTCCAGCTTGGGCAACAGAGTGAGACTCCATCTCCAAAAAAAAGCATAGTAGGATTTGTGTGAATAGAGCAGAAGTAATTGACTATAACCTAATGAGAGATCCTGAGTCAGAGGCATGCAGCTAAATTTCTGACACACAGAAACTGTGAGATAATGTTTGTTGTTTTAAACTAAGTTGTGGGATAAATTTTTACACAGCAATAATTAATTCATACTCCAATCAGACTTTAGCCCATATAACTGTTCTTATCAAGACCACTAATGATTTCTGCTTTGCTAAATCCAAAGGTCAACTCTCAAACCTCATCTTACTTGACTTACAATCAGTATCTAACATAGATACTATGATCCATCCTATACTATGCATTCTCTCGTTCTTGTTCTTTTGTTTTTTCTCTACTTTTTTTTTTGAGACAGAGTCTTACTTTGTGCCCAGGCTGTAGTGCAGTGGCACTTATCTTGGCTCATTGCAGTCTCAACCTCCAGGGCTCAAGCGATCCTCTCACCTCAGCCAGGCTAAATTTATTTTTTATTTTTTGTAGAGATGAGGTCTCATTATATTGCCCATTCTCTCATTCTTGATACACTTCCTAAATGTACCTTTCTGGACATCACACATTTCTAGTTCTACTCCTACCTCATGGGCCACCCCTTTTTTGTCTCTTTTTTTTTGCGGGGGGAGGAGAGGTGCTGTTTTTTTCTCATCAAGAAACAGCCCAGTGCAGTGGTTAGGAACATAGATTTTGAGCCAGACTGGCTAGGTTTTAGTCTTGATTCTGCCACTTACTAGATCTGTGATCTTTATTCATTCTTCTTTTCCATGCCTCACAACCAATTCTTCAGCAAACCCATCGGTTCTACCAACAATACTAAAAATGATCAGACGGAAAAAAGAAGGCTGCCTTTAGGAATGCTCTAAAGGAATTCTCATGCCAGATAAGAAGTTGTATACAAAATCAGTAATTCTAAATTGCTGTGGAATGACTTCAGTGAAAGTTGCCTATATCCTCAACTGACATCAATATTTTAAGCTTTAAAAAAGAAATACCAGTGACTTACCGATAATAAACTTCATTTTAATTTTATTCTCAAGCCAGAAGCAACAGGCAACAGATGTGCAACTTCCTAGTAATTCATTCACTCATCCAATCAACAAATATTTAGTGAATACTTATTATGTATCAGGTATTCTCTAGGTGTTCAGGATACACAGTAAAATGAAAGAGATAAAAATCTCCGACCTCATAGAGCTTATATCCTAACAAAGTGGTGTGATAGAGAATAAATATAGTAAGTAAATGATATAATACATTTGAAAGTTATAAGTAGTAAGTGCTACGGAGAAAAATAAAGAAAGGAAAGAGGGATGAAAAAGATAGCAATTTTAAACAGAAAAGCCAGGCAATGCTTTCTTGAGAAGGGAACCTATCAGCACAGAACAAAACGGATTCCTGTGTTCTTTCCCCTACTACATGCCTCTAGGTCGCTGTCACCTCCTTCACCCTAGCAGAAGTCTGGAATTTTATTCTCTGAAGAGAATCAAAGTCCTCCGACCTAAAAATCACCTGGCAAAACCTAGAGCACATGAACATATGAGCATAGGCATATTGAATACTAAGTGCAGAGATTCCAAAATTGTTCTCTACTGGGCTCCTAGAAGGCTGTCAGCTAGATTCTTACTCTCTAGGAGGGAGACAGACAAGAGTCTTCTATGGCATTTCAAGAACTATAAAATCTGAGATTTTTACCAAACTTGCAACCTAACAAGCTAGTCTGCCACAGTTTCATAGATGATGGCAGAAGGCACAAGACTCTCGGGTCAAAGACAAAAGGTTTGATTATGCACAGCATAGCAAGCAGCATGAGCTTCTTGTTCATATTAGTTTCCCTTGTATTCACTCCCTCAAGTCCCATGAGAGTGACATGGAGGCCGGCCAAGTGGATACTATGCATACAGTGGGTTTTTGGTCACAATTGAGGAACCCTAAGCTTAGGAAACCTCTATCTTTTAAAAGGGTAGCTATAAAAAAACCTATCTAACTTTTGCACTGTCCATTATACTGGAAAGTAAATAAATATACTGTATGTTCTAGACAGAGACACTGTCTATAACTTCCAAAGCTGTTCATTGCACACGCATCCTTAAAAAGATAGTCTGTAAACAGAAGGTTTTCAGTGTCTCTGCTCATAAAATGTTTCTCTCTGCTCAGAAACATGAGAAATGATGGAGAAGAATTTTCAATGATATATACAGTATAATCTTAGATTCTTCACAGTTCTTGACATGGAGAATCTGCTGAATCCAGTGAAAAATAACTATAAATACTGACTTCAAAGATTCCTTAGACAAATGGCTCACCATCACCCTAAAATGAAACTCAGACAAGTCCCCTGTATGCTCTCAGAATTTCCCATCAGCCTTCCTTTCAGTCATGTTTAGACAACTGAGGTCTATCGAATATCAGAAGGAAACTTTTAACATGTAAGTTAGAGACTGAAACAAAGAGGAAAAAAAGTAATTTATACAAAAAAATTTTAAAAAAAGAATATTGTTTTTAGAGAAGATATTACATTCATGAAACAGGAAAACATTGCGATAGTAAAGGGACACTCAGAGAAAAGAGTACTTGGATTTTAAAATGAAGAGAGAAGCGATGAGACAGAGGGAAGGAGAGAAGAAAAGGAGAAAAGAAGGAGAAAGGGAGTGGGAGAGAGAGTAAGAGAGGGCAAACGACAGAAAGCACAAAAGCAAATAACTCAAAAAAGGGTTAAAAATAAAGATGAAGAAATATCATAGTAGAGCAAGAAGAGAATGGGAAAAAAGAGAAGAAAAAACTAAAATTTAAGAAAGCCAGTAAAGATGATCCACCTTGTAAACAAAAGAACTTCCAAAAAGAAAGAACAAAGAAAACAGATGGGAGATAATCATTAACAAATTAAGAAATTTCTCAGAACTGAAGTACTCAAAGACCCAAGGTACATCATTATGTGCCATCAGAACCCCAGTTACCAAGAGGGTGTTCTACCAGATTCTTGAAAGGGGAAAAAGGTCACAGAGAAGATTAAAAATCAGTCATTTATTTTTTACGGAGAAAAAAATAAGATTAGTAATCAGAATGGCTTTGGAACTCTCCACAGCAATGCTCCAAACCAAAAAATAATGGAGTAATATTTTCAAAATTCCAAAGAAAAAAGATTTCCAACCTAGAATTCTATACTTAGCTAAACTTCCAAACAACTGTTAAATGTAGAATGAAAAGATTTTTAGATGCTGAAGGCTTCAAAATATTTATTTCCCATGCCACTTTTCTCACCAAGTTAACTATTTATAGGCTCTACGAAACTGAGAGAATAAACCAAGAAAGAGAAAAAATAGATGTTAGGAAATAAGAGATTCAACATAGAGGGGATGCAAAGGGAATGCCTAGGAAGATGGTGAAGGAAGATCCCAACAGATCCTGTTCCTTACGTATACAGTGACCAATGTAGTTTGGATTCGTGTGCCATAAACGATAGATATGTTAACATCCCTGCTGCTAGGGTACCAACTTTTAACCTGAGGACAGATCAAAAGCTTGACTAGATTCTTTTCAGTGCTTGGCTTATCTGAAGGTGTACCAATGAAGTTTCTTGCCTAGATCATCTGATGATACTATTTTCACTTCACTGAAGTTTTCTGCTTTGGCTTGCTCCTGAGAGTTGGAGGAGGGCAATGTTAAGTTTAGATGCAAATCAGTCTGTTCCATATGTTAGATAGCCAATATTTTATCACATTACAATCTTGCCAGAAGCCCTGAAAGTGGTAAACTCTCAGTTTTGCACAATTCACTCTTGACCTTGCCCATTAACATCTCCAAAGGGAGTCTGAAAACCTTTCAGGTATAAAGAAGCATACCATAACCCAGAGACTCTGTTCAACTTTTCTTTTGGGAGACTTCTTTTAATAATAGCAGTATTTATGCTATCTTACACAGCTGGGTTTGTGCTTACCACTCAATTTTTTTCAGACTCAACCAGATATTTCCTTGGAATACACTCATTCTGACAAAATACATTCATAATGATAGTACTATAAAGAAAGCAAAAGAATAATTAACGCAAACGTCAAGAGGGGGATACAGGAGGATTTTACAGTACTAGTGATGTTCTATTTCTTAAATAAAACGTTGGGTAGCTGGGTGTTCCTTTATTATTTAATAAAATAATGTGTTACATAATCTTCAAATAATGTGCAATACATTTCATAATACAAAGTTACACATTCATTATATAGCTGCTTTGTGCCATGGATTGTTCTCAGCTAAGTGGACTGAACAAAAAAACCAACCATTTTCCCTGACCTCACCTAATTCTGTAAATTACATCTACACTAAGTGTTACAGAAGACAGAGTGCTATGACATCTTACAATATGAGGGTGAACTTAGGCTGTGAAACCAGGAAAGGCTTTGGTGACAACATAGCATTTGAATTGAAACACCATGAAAAAGAATTAGTCAAACGAAGATAAAAAGAGCCTTTCAGGAAGAAGAAATAGAGATTTCTTGAAGGCAAGGACCTTGTCTCATTTACTTCTTACTTCGTATTAGTATTATGAACACGGTCAGCCCTTATGGATGTGGAGAAACTGAAACTCTTGTGTACTGTTGGTGAAAATGTGAAACAGTATAGCTGTTGTGGAAAATACTATGGGGATTCCTCAAGAAATTAAAAATAGAGCTATTGGCGTCAGCCCTTATGGATGTGGAGAAACTGAAACTCTTGTGTACTGTTGGTGAAAATGTGAAACAGTATAGCTGTTGTGGAAAATACTATGGGGATTCCTCAAGAAATTAAAAATAGAGCTATTGGCGTCAGCCCTTATGGATGTGGAGAAACTGAGACTCTTGTGTACTGTTGGTGAAAATGTGAAACAGTATAGCTGCTGTGGAAAACACTATGGGGATTCCTCAAGAAATTAAAAATAGAGCTATTGGCCACACACAGTGTGTGGCTCACACCTGTTATCCTAGCACTTTAGGAGGCCGAGGAAGGAGGAACAGTTGAGTCCAGGAGTTCAAGACCAGCCTGGGCAACCAAGTTAGGCTCCACATGTACAAAACATAAATTTTACAAATTTGCTGGGCATGGTGGTGTCCAGCTGTAGTGTCCCAGGGACTCACAGGGCTGAGGCAGGAGGACTACTTAAGCCCAAGAGGTCAAGGGCAGTGAGCCAGGATCATACCCCTGCCCTCCAGCCTGGGTGACAGAACAAGATCCTGTCTCAAAAAATAAAAATAATAAAAATAGAACTACTATATAATCCAGCATTTCACTTCTAGGTATTTATCCAGAAGAACTGATAAAAGAGGGTCAAAGAGATATTTGCACACTCATGTTCACTGAAGCATTATTCACAATAGTCAAGAGGTAGAAACAACCTAAATGTCTATCTACAAATTAATGGATAAAGAAAATGTGGTATGTACATATTAGAGAATATTTTTCAGCCTTAGAAAAGAAAATCCTGTCATAGCTACAACATGGAAAAACCTTTAAGCACATTATGCTAAGTGAAATAAGCCAGTCACAGAAAAGCAAATACTGCATGACTCCACTTATATAAGGTATCTAAAGCAGTCAAACTCATAGAAGCAGAAAGCAGAATGTGTTGACAGGGGGTAGGAAAATGGGGAGTTGCTGTTCAATGGTATAGAATTTCAGTTATTCAAGATAACAAAATTTTAGGCCAGGCATGGTGGCTCATGCCTGTAATCCCAGCACTTTGGGAGGCCGAGGTGGGTGGATCACTTGAGGTCAGGAGTTTGTGATCAGCCTGGCCAACATGGCGAAACCCCATCTCTACTAAAAAAAAAAAAAAATATTGGCCAGGCGTGTTGGTGCATGCCTATAATCCCAGCTACTCGGGAGGCTGAGGTGGGAGAATCACTTGAACCAGGAAGACGGAGGTTGCAGTGAGCCGAGATTACACCACTGTACTCCAGACTGGTTGACAAAGTGAGACTCTGTCTCAAAAACAAAACAAAAAAAATTAAATAAATAAATAAGTAAATAATTGAAATATTGTTCTGTTATTCCTTTTTACACTTTAATGTTATCAAACTAAAGGCCCTGGGAAACAAGAAGACCTAAATGTGTATGCTAAGTTTACTGTCTTGAATCTGAAACTTTGTTTTCTAATATTTGCTATTTGCTAGATGATAACAACTCCATTAAGTTAGAAACCACATTAATCTTTTCCACTACTTTAATTTAGGACTCAGCACTTTAATTTAGGTCTTACACATAATAGGCAATCATAAACTATTTATTTAATAAATGAATTTTTGTCTAACTTCTTAATTTAATATCCTATTTCCTTGTTCAAATGACTTGATTTTTATTTTGCCTATCAGTTATCTGCTAACACAAACATTCAGATCTATAGTTTTAAAGACTTGAGATAATCAGAGGCCTCTAAACGCTTACATTCAATCATGATAGTTTACATTTTATTTCTATCACTATCTGCATTTCCATTTCCTTTGGTTAAACAGTTAGCACTGGTATCTTTCATTTACTTTGTGAACAAGTGAATATTCATTCAAATATAATTTATTAAGTCTCTCAAGTATTGGGAACTAAGAGACACGAACATAAGTAAGAACTCTGCCCATCTTCAGAGTTCCCAGTCTAGTTTGGATAGAAACATTCAAATAAATAATTGCAGTACAATGTGATAATCTCTTAACTGCCTATTTCAGCAGGCCAAAGCAAATGGCAATGTAACACTCTCTCTTAAATCAGGTAAAAAGACAATTAAAGGGCAATGATAGAAGCTGTTGAATCTGAGGAAAGTAAAATGGAGGCTTGCCAAATGACTTCCATTTTGTAATCTATGCAGTTTAATTGAAGGACCTAACTTTACGGTGAGTTTTCCATTCATGGCTGTTGAGATTATTCAATTACTGATAACAGTAAAGAATAAGTGACATAATATGAATTGTCTCTAGCTATATGTTTAACTTTTCCTCATTTTTTTTAAAAAAGCACTGTTCTTTAATGGTGATTGATGTTTGTTTTAGTGGAATCCCATTTCTGAGAAAAAATTAACAATATAAGCTAAAAGAGGTACGCAGAAAGTGCTATGGGCCAGGAGTGGTGGCTCATACCTGTAATCCCAGCACTTTGGGAGGCAAAGGTGAGAAGACCGCTTGAGGCCAAGAGTTCGAGACCAGCCTGGGCAACATAGTAAGACTCCCGTCTCTACAATTTTTTTTTCTTTAATTAGCCCAGTGTGGTGGCATGCACCTGCAGTCCCAGCTACTTTGGGAGGCTGATGTGGGATTATCACTTGAGCACCGGCGTTCACGGCTATAGTGAGCTATGACCACACCACTGCGCTGTCATGATCACTTAAGTAGAAAACGGAGCTTTAAATATACTGTTTGAAGCTACAGAGACTGGTCAGAAACACATAGGAGAATAACAGTATCTCTTAAAAGGTTGAGGGAGAGGGAACGAGGAAATAGTGTAAATAAGATAAAGTCTTTTTATCATAACAGGAAGTCCATAGACAATGTCTATATGGAGGTAACCACACGGACTAGAGACAGGGGTAAAAGTTGTTACATCTAGAAAACAAGCTATCATTTTTACTACAAGTCTTTCTGGACTAATTTATCTTTGTTGTTGTTGAGACGGGAGGCTCACACTGTCGCCCAGACTGGAGTGTAGTGGTGCGATCTCAGCTCACTGCAACCTCGCCTCCCAAGTTCAAGAGATTCTCCTGCCTCTGCCTCCC